ACACACACACACACACACACACACACATATGTTTCATGTAACACACATACATATAAAATTTCCAATAAGTTTTTCAAACAGGCTCGCGAGAAATGTGACCACACGATGTGTTTAATAATATAGGAACTGTTTCTATTCTACAGCGAATACAAACACAAGGAAAATCTGGTTGATCGGGAAGAAGACGACAGCCTGGAGTATAACTTGAAAAACGTATGGCACTTCAATCCGTCGTTAAGCAGCCCGTTAACTGGCGAGGAAGAGCTGGTCGTTCCTCACTTCCTTATTCTCAGCATGATCAAACTCACTCTTGAGCAGCAGCCAGGAGCGATAGGAATTTTGAGTAAGTGATCGACAATTTTTTTACAATTAGTTCATTCACATCGTTGAAGGACTCGACATGATTTATCTGGATTTGGAGCGACGAAGGAATAATTTTCAAAGAAAAATAAAAATAAATTAAATTCTTCTTACTTCGAGCAAAATTTGCCCAACTTGTCCTAATATATAAAGTACTATGATCTTTGGCAGACGCACCACTATTACCAGTATAAATATGTAGAATTCTGAGAAACCTGACATTCATGAGGAATCTCACCGCCTTTCGCATTAGTACATTCGTTCGTTTCGATCCAAAAGTAAAGGTCGGCTTGGCCTTAGCTAGGAATACCTGAGAGTGAAACGGTGGATTTTAAATGAAAGAGGGTCGAGAGAGAGAGAGAGAGAGAGAGGGAGGAAGAAGGTTTTACTTATGGCTAATAATAAGTTACTTACCCTCGCCTTGAACGAGCGGATCAATCGATTTGCGTAACGCCTCGTTTAAGCCCATCACACGTTTCCGTTTCCTTATTCATAGGATTCCTCCAGGTGTCTTTCGCGCGAATCAATCCCATATAGTTGCTCACCTAGACGTAGAAAGCTAGAAAGAAATTCACACAGTTTATCGCGTTACATAATTATATTAATTATTTCACTTAATCACGTTGATTATTCCGCGGGACAATAATTAAATATTCTTTAGATCATAAGTTATATAGAGATATCTTCAGATTGTAAATATATCATTTTCGAATTTATTTCGACTGAGAAAGCATCTCCGAAATATTTTAAATTTTCCTGCTTTGACTTTTCTTGAAAATATTTACCAATTGATTCCTAAAATTTATTTACTTCTTTATTTATTTAAATTATCTTGTTTACTTGTGGTTTCATTATTTTTCAAACCTTTCTTTTTCGGTCTTACTTGGATATTTGAGCCCTGCGTTTTACTCATTTTGCCTGAGATTAAGTTATCTATTACTTTTCTTTATTGAAGTTTTATGTTTTATACTGCAGCCATAGGGAAATGGAAATTTTTTTAACAATTTAATGTATTAAATTTATATATATAATATAATAATTCTAATATAGCATAATATAGTATAATTATAATTGAAGTATAATTATCAATCAACTCATAATTCATTAGATATTATAAAATTCTGACCAACGTTAAAATTCACAGATAAGGCTGTGGATAATCTCTTCCACAAACCTAGTTCCGTCTTCGTAAGGGCGAAAGCAAGAGAAATACTCTTCGATGGTTTACCCGTCGACTGCACTGGGAAAGATTTCGCCTCGACTGCAATTTGCACCGCATTGAAGGAAAAGGAGGACGCTTTGATGCCTGGTGAACAACCTGGGCAATATTTGTTCTCCGTTTTTGGCCCTGTACGTACGCCTGTCTGTTCTTATTCGTACATTACACACAACGTAGTACAATAATAATAGAAAAATAAAAATTAACACTTGAAGCTTGGAGATATGAAAGAATTTCATTACATTGACAAAGGCTGTTCGTTATTACATGTAGTAATAATTTTTTCACAATTGATGAGGTTTTGAATCTTCACTTTTTTTTTTTTTTTAAGTGAAATCACATTTTTCTT